ACTGGATCTACAAGACTGGATTGTGTCCTGAGGCAATCTCTTGAGATATAAAAGACAGAAGTGAGCAGTGAGACAGGGGGACCTCATACCATCAAAAAAGCAGTGCCGGAAGCAGAGCGCGTCCTTTGGACCAGGTTCCCTGCGCAGAGAAGCTCCTAGTCTGGGGGAACACTGAAGAGAAGAAGGCCAACAGAGAGAGAAAGACTTCCCCTGGAGCTGACACCCTGAATTTGGACTTTCAGCCTACTTTGACGGTGAGGAAATAAACTTCTCTTTGTTAAAGCAATCCACTTGTGGTATTTCTGTTACAGCAGCACTAGATGACTAAGACAATTATATTACTTTAAGTTATATGCACTGTATTTCTCTTTTTTTTAATTATACAAGCAATACATGCTGAATGTAAACATTTCTTAGACTCTCTAAGTATAGATATACTTAACAGGTTTTTTACAAAATCTGTAAAACATCGAGATATAGTTTGCTTTCATTCCCAATCACGCTCTCCTCTCAAAAGGTTGCCACTTTAACATTTTAGTTAGTAGTTTTTTCTAAAAAGTTATGTGCATTTTTGAGCAAAGATCTGTGACACGGTCTGTAAATACATTTTTTAAAAGTCATTAATTATATTTTCATGACAGCATAATTTTCAATTGCTCAAGAACATGTTGATGTTACTCGATTTTCTATCTCATTTACTTTTCTGTAAATAGATATAACTTTTCAAAAATGTAGTCAATTCCCCAACTTCTATGTCGTTCTTCAAAAACATCAACACTGTCAAGACAATGAATACTGCACACTGTTCCTGAATCAGAAAAAAAGGGTAACACATTAAAATGTTACAAGAAAGAAATCAAGGGTTCTTCTAAAATTACTTCAAATGATTTTAGAAAAAGTTTGCTAAAGGCTTTTCTTTTCTCTTAATGAAAGGGGAAATGTTAAGGACAAATTTTCTGAATTCTGAATTGTTATTATCACTTATAACTCCCATGAGCAAAATAAATACACCATCTCTCTAGAAAAGTTAAAATGTCCAAAAGAAAGCACACAGCGAAAAAGATGTATTACTGAGATTAGTCCCTTTTCTAGGATAAAACAGTCTTTGATTAAACGGTCTCTAACTTTTAAATTTTATATACTTCTAGATGCTAATAGCTAACAGTTCAAAATAAATACTTGCTGACTTTATTTAAGGAGAATTATAGTCTAAGTCCACAACTTACCAAACAACCTTTTAATTTCAGCATCTGGAACATAAAATGGTGGACCTAAGTAAGAGAGACATAGGGATGAGGAATGATTTCTATAGAATCTTCTAATTCTGAAGAGAAATTCTCAGGACCCACCTCCCAGTTTATTCCCAAGAACATAGGTGTACTTCTTCTATGCTGTTATTGAGTGCCATTGAGTCAAGTCCAACTCATAGCAACCCTATAGGACAGAGTAGAACTGCCCCACAGGGTTTCCAAAGCTGTAATCTTTACAGAAGCAGACCGCCACATCCTTCTCCCGAGGAGCTACTGGTGAGTCTGAACTGATGATCTTTCAGTTAGCAGCCGAGCACTTAACCACTGTGCCACAAGGGCTCCTTACTTATTCTACACACGGCTTAATTATCCAAATGGATGAGGACATGACTCGTTCTCCTTAGTACCCTCCTATTCCTCTTCCTCCTCTTCCTTCTTTGCACGTCTCATACCAAAGAAGTAAACTGCCTTACTGAGGGGACAGCAATGCCCATGCCCATCCATGGCTCTTGGGAAGATGGAAAGCAGAATGGGGTCAAAAGGCAAAACCAAAAAACCAAACCAGTTGCCATCGAGTCGACTCCGACTCATGGTGACCCCACATGTGACAGAGTAAACTAGACTCTTTAGGGTTTTCAATGGCTGATTTTTTGGAAATAGAATGTCAGGCCTTTCTTCCAAGGCATCTTGGGGTGGGTGTGGGCTGCCCATTGTGTACATTAGCAAATTCCTTTGGGATTTCCTCTGGGGTAATGATTTTCTAAAGTTTCCCTGCTCTGCTGCTGAGCATTTACTTTATAAAACCAAACCTGTTGCTGTGGAGTCGATTCTGACTTATAGTGACCTTATAGGACAGAGTAGAACTGCCCCATAGGGTTTCCAAGGAGCAGCTGGTGGATTCAAACTGCTGACCTTCTGATTAGTAGCCGAGATCTTAACCACTGCGCCACCAGGGCTCCACTTTATAGGGAATCTGAATATCCTACTTTCATGTTATGTGTTCAGTTCGGCCCCTTTCCAGAGCATTATTAGAGACTCTGCCCCCAGACAGGACCTGCTGTGGTTTCTTCCCACAAGCCCTTAGGCCTCCTTTTGCCAGTGGAATTTAAATCACATCAGCAGAGCTAACTGCTGCCTCCATTAATTCCTATTTCCATCTGATTGTCTCAGAGTTAATTATGGACACTAAATCTTATTTTTAATGAGTTGTTAAGATCTGATTTATTCAAACGGAAAAAAAAACTAAGATGTAAATATTTATAAAAACAAGCCACTTTAAAAAACAGGCTCAATAAAAAACTGAAATGGGGATTTTCACAAGAGGTCTATGCATTTTCTTTTCATCTCTTCCTGAAAATAAGAGCCCATGTTCAACCACACCAAAATGAGTCCAGATGAAAACATCCCCTTTACAATTCAAAGCAAAGAAAGTAATAGAAGAATGCAAAGGTCGAATGATAAAATCCTGGAAATTAAAAAACAGTCATCATGTAGAGATTTCCTGCACGTCTCTCTACCCCTCCCCAATGCCTACTTCACACCCATCCTCCTGTGAGGGTGTGCATGTGTGTGTGTGAGGGTGTGTGTGTGTGTGTGTGTGTGAGGGGGTGTGTGTGCGTGTTTGTGTGTGTGTGCGCGTATGTGTGTGTGTAGGCACTTGCCCAACACATCACCCCACTATGGATAATACCAAAAAACCAAAACACCAAACTCGCTGCCATGGAGTCTAGAGTTTCCAAGGAGCGCCTGGTGGATTCGAACTGCTGACCTTTCGGTTAGCAGCCATAGCTCTTAACCACTGCGCCACCAGGGTTTCCATGGATAATATGGACATGCTGTACCCATAGCAGGCCTACCAACTCTCACCTTCCTCCTAGTCCAGTGCTCATGTGGATTCTGACATTGCTGCTGTCAGGTGCCACTGAGTCGATTTCGGCTCAGTGACCCCACAGGGTTTTCTAGGCTGTGATCTTTACAGGAGCAGATCCCCAGGGCTTTTCTCCTGCAGAGCTGCTGGGCAGGTTCCAACAGCCAACCTTTCGGTTAGCAGCTGAGTGCTTAACGGTTGCACCACCAGAGCTCCTTTCTTTCACCTTAGCACCAGCCATTTCTCCTTCTTCTATGGTTTGAGCTGTGAATGGTGAACCAAAGGGGAATGGAAAGCAAGAAAAACATGTATAGAGGGGGAAGAGGAAATGTTTACAGTTGCCTGTTAGGGACTGAATTATGTCCCCCCCAAAATACATGTTACAAATCCTAACCTCTATACCTGTGGACGGGGGCCCTGGTGGTGCAGTGGTTAAGAGCTCAGGCTGCTAACCAAAAGGCTGGCAGCTCCAATCCACCAGCGGCTCCTGTGGCTCCTGTGGTTGTAATCCCATTTGGGGACAGGGCTTTCTTTGTTATGTTAATGAAGCCGTAGCAGAATAGGGTGTGTGTGTGTGTGTGTGTGTGCACGCGTGCGCGCGTGCGTGTACGCGTGCGCGCGCGTTTTCTTGCATGGCGCAGATCTGCTGCAGAAGACCTTTTTACTCTTATTTTTTTTAAATTGTGCTTTAGGTGAAAGATTACAGAGCAAATTCGTTTCTCATTAAACAATACACGAATTGTTTTATGACACTGGTTGCCGACCTCGCCATGTGTCAACATTCTCCTTCCTCCACCCCAGGTTCCCCATTTCCGTTCGTCCAGTGTTCCTGTACCTTCCCGCCTTCTTGTCTTTGCTTTAGGGCTGGTGAGCCCATTTAGTCTCCTACATGAGTCAACTATGAAGCACGTTCCTCATGTGTCTTCTTGTTTGTTTTACGGGCCTGTGTAATCTTTGGCTGAAGGGTGAACTTCAGGAGTGACTTCAGTACCGAGTTAAAGATGGGTGTCATGGATTGAATTGTGTCCTCCAAAAAAGGTGTGTAGCAACTTGGCTAGGTCATGATTCCCAGTATTGTATGACTGTGTAATCTGCTGTGATTTCCTTATGTGTTGTAAGTTCTATCACTATGATGAGATTATATGTGATCTCCTTATGTGTTGTAAATTCTATCACTGTGATAGGTATACTGATGAGGTTGACAAGATTAGATAGTGTCTTAAGCCAACCTCTTTTGAGATATAAAAGAGAGAAGCGAGCAGAGACACATGGGAACCTCATACCACCAAGAAAGCAGTGCCAGGAGCAGAGCGCATCCTTTGGACCTGAAGTTCCTGCGCAGAGAAACTCCCAGACCAAGGGAAGACTGATGCATCACAAGGCCCTTTCTCCAGAGCCGACAGAGAGCTGATGCCCTGACTTTGGACTTGTCGCCTACTGGACTGTGAGAGAATAAATTTATCTTTGTTAAAGCCATCCACTTGTGGTATTCCTGTTAGAGTAGCACCAGATGACTAAGGCAGGGGGCCAGGGGCCATACTCTCGGGGTTTCTCCAGTCTCTGTTGGACCAGTAAGTCTGATTTTTGTTTTTTTTTGTGAATTTGAATTTTGTTCTACATTTTTCTCCCGCTCTGTCTGGGACTCTCAATGGTGATCCCTGTCAGAGCAGTCAGTGGTGGTAGTTGGGCACCATCTAGTTTTGCTTGACTCAGTCTGGTGGAGACTCGTAGTGGTGGTCCATTAGTCCTTTGGACTAATCTTTCTCTCGTGTCTTGGGTTTTCTTCATCCTCCTTTGCTCCAGATGGGGTGAGACTAGTAGATGTATCTTAGATGGCTGCTCGCAGGCTTTTAAGACCCCAGACGCTACTCACCAAAGCAGGATGTAGAACATTTTCTTTATAGACTATGTTATCCCAATGGAGCTAGATGTCTCCCAAGACCATGGTCCCCCCTCAGCCCAGCAACTTGGTCCCTCAGGGAGTTTGGCTGTGTCTATGAAGTGTCTCTGACTTTGCCTTGGTCAAGTTGTGCTGCCTTCCCCAGAAGTGTGTACTGTCTTACCCTTCACCAAAGTCACCACTTATGTACCATCTAGTTAGTGTTTTTCCCTCTCCACCTCTTCCCTCCCTTGTAACCATCAAAGATTGTTTCTTCTGTGTGTAAACCTTTTCTTGAGTTTTTGTAACAGTGGTCTCGTATGGTGTTTGTCCTTTTGTGATTGACTTATTTCAGTCAGCATAATGCCCCCCAGATTCATCCATGTTGTAAGATGTTTTATAGATTTATTGTTGTTCTTTATCATTGCATAATATTCCATTGTGTGTATATACCACAGTTTGCTTATTCATTCATCTGTTGATGGGCACTTAGGTTTGGGTGTGTTTTAAACCAATCGCTTTTGAGATATAAAAGGAGCAGATTAGACACAGAAGCAAGCAAGCAAGCATAGATGGGGGAAGACAGATGCCACGAGATCTCCAGGGAACCAACGAAGAGACGCTGAAGAGAGACGACAACCTTCCCCCAGAGCCGACAGAGAAAGCCTTCTCCTAGAGCTGGTGCCCTAAATTCGGACTTCTAGCCTCTTAAAGTGTGAGAAAATAAATTTGTTTGTTAAAGCCACCCATTTGTGGTAGTTCTGTTATAGCAGCTCTCCATAGCTAAGACATTCCCTAACACCAAAAATAGAACTTTTAGGTATACAAGCAGTGCACTTCCTAATAAGATGTACTAGTAGAAAATAATGCTTTCTGTATAATATAATTAAATCATCATTTAAAAAAGAGTCACCTAGAAAAAGAAAAAAACAAAAAATCCTTACCTGGATGTTTAGTTGGATCATAAGATACAACACACGCAAAGTAGCGAAACCTCTTCCTTGTTAGGGACAACATTATATCAGCATAGCTAAAATGAACACACAAAAAGGTACATGTTACATTTTTCTACAGGGGCAAGAGGCAGGGAAGTAACCCACACTTACCTTCATCTACATTATTGACTCTAATTTTCCCAAAAACCACACGAAGTTGATTTTCATTCTAAGAGAGAAAAATGAGTTCAGCAAATGATGTCCCCAGCCCAAGGTCACAAAGCTGGGAAGTGGTAAAAACAGGGATCCACTCCAACCCCCTTCCAGAGCCCACGTTCTCCCCACTATGTCAGACCAGATGTCACACAAAGGCAGCAGGGCTCCCTGTAGGCCTGATGCGCACCTGGGGCCCGCGACACGGAACACACACTTCCTGAAGGGCCGCCCGGCTTCCGTGGTCCCCAGGCCAGGCTCTGTATCCAAGTCACCTGGGCACTTGCTAGAAGAAGGGGTGCCGGCACCCCCTCCTCCCTCCTCCAACACTCTGATTCAGGAGATTTGCTACGCGGCCTGGGCTGCTGCACTGGTAGTATCGTGGGCGATTGGGATCACTCCAGGGCCGTATGTACGAGGTGAAAACACAGTCCTGTCCTTTATCTGGACGGAGAGACCAGATGAACGAACATGCAGAAATAGAAGAAAGTATGAAATTAAAGTTCTAGAAAGTGTGGCATGAACTGTGAGTGCTGGAGGGACGGTTGCTGGTAGCTGGCCTCCTTTAGGGAGCATGTGACAGCACTTCCCAGCCATGTTGGATAGGTTTGGGGTGGGGACCCTAACGGGGTCCACCAACAGACTGTCTAGAAGGCAGGGCTGTGCCCGGTACGAGACCATCAGCTGGACCAACTGGATCCCTCCACAGGGAAACTGAATTAAGAGAACCAAAGAGAACCAGTTGCTGTCAATTCTGACTCATGGTGACCCCATGTGTGTCAAGAGCAAAACTGTGCTCCACAGAGTTTGCAGTTGTTGATTTTTCAGAAGTAGTCTGCCAGGCCTTTCTTCTGAGGTGCCTCTGCATGGACTTGAGCCCCTGACCTTTCGGTTAGCAGCTGAGTGTGTTAACCATTTGCATCACCCAGGAACTCCAAACAGACTCTAGAGACCCAAAGACTCCAGAAACGCAAAGAGGAGTTGCTTAGCTCTGGTGGTTGTGCCAACAGCTGGAGCTTTTGTGCTGTGTGGTGGTTAGAGCTGGGGAGGCTAAGGGCTGTGAGCCAGTTAGATCTGTGCGGGAAGAAATGGAGTCAACAGAAGAAGCTGAGTGTCAGGTAGGGGGAGAGAGGAGACACATACAGAGGAGCAGAGAGGTCATGAGACAGACAGACTGCCAGCTCTGAGTGATGTGCTTTAGTTCCTGGCACACTAGGTTCCAGAGCCTGGCTGGACTGTGATTCCTGTTCAGAGTTCTATGAGAAATTAGGGATTTAGCGTATGGACTCTGGAAGATACCCCAGTTCAAACTCCTGCTCCTCCACGTACTGGCTATATAAGCTTGGACGAATTCTTTTATTTATTTTGCTGTTGTTGAGAATATACACAGCAAAACATACACCAATTCAACAGTTTCTACATGTGCAATTCAGTGACACTGATTACACTCTTCGAGTTGTGCAACCACTCTCACCCTCCTTTTCTGAGTTGTTCCTCCCCCATGAACATAAACTCACTGCTCTCTAAGGTCCCTTTCTAACCTTTCAAGTTGCTGTTGTCAGTTTGGTCCCATATAGATAGTTCTTAAAAGAGCATAATGCTCAAGGCAGACTTTTTTACTAGTTAAGCTAAACTATTGTTTGGTTTTAAGAAGACTTCGGGGATATGTTTGGTTTAAGGTTTCAAGATTATCTCAGGGCAATAGTTTCAGGGGTTCATTCCACCTTCATGGCTCCAGGAAGTCTGGAGTCCATGAGAATTTGAAATTCTGTTCTACATTTTCCCTCTTTTGATCAGGATTCTTCTATATAATCTTTGATCAAAATGTTTGGGAATGGTAGCCGGGCACCATCCAGTTCTTCTGGTCTCATGGCAAAGGACGCAGTTGTTCATGGAGGCACTTAGCCCACATTCCATATCCTCCTCCTGTTCCTGACTCTCCTTCTTCCTCTGTTGCTCCAGGCAAATAGAGACCAATTGTTGTGCCTCGGTGACTGCTTGCAAGCTTTTAAGACCTTAGGCATTACACAATGAACTAGGAGGCAGAAGAGAAGCACTAAACAAGTTATTAGGCCAATTAACTGGGATATAACTTGGACAAATTCTTTTTTTTTCCCATACAAAAATTTATACATACATTGTTATGTGACTCTAATTGCTCTTCCCACACTGTGACAGCACACTCCTCCTTTCCACGCCTGATTCCCCATATTCATTCAACCAGCTCCTAACCCTCTCCGCCTTCCCATCTCACCTCCGGACAGAAGCTGCCCGTTTAGTCTCTTGCATCTACTTGAGCTAAGAGGCACACTCCTCATGAGTATCACTTTATGTCCCACAGTCCAGTCCAACCTCTGTCTGAATAGTTGGCCTTGGAAATTGTTTTAGTTCTGGGCTGATAGAGAATCCAGGGGCCATGCTTTCCAGGGTACCTCCAGTCTCAGACCATTAAGTCTGGTCTTCTTACTAGAATTTGAGTTCTGCACCCCTCCTTTCTGCTGCTCCATCAGGGACTCTCTGTTGTGTTCCCTGTCAGGGCGGTCACTGGTGGTAGCCAGACACCATTTAGTTCTTCTGGTCTCAGGCTGATGAAGTCTCTGGTTTATGTGGCCCTTTCTGTCTGTTGGGCTAATACTTTCCTTGTGTCTTTAGTGTTCTTCATTCTCCTTTACTCCAGATGGTTGTGACCAACTGATGCATCTTAGATGGCTGCTTGCAAGCTTTTAAGACCCGAGACGCCTCTCACCAAAGTAGGATGCAGAACATTTTCTTAATAAGCTTTGTTATGCCAATTGACCTAGATGTCCCCTGAAAGCATGGTCCACAGACCCCTACCCCTGCTACTCTGTCCCTGTAAGTGTTTGATTGTGTTCAGGAAAATTCTTAACTTTGGTTTAATCCAGTTGTGCTGACTTCCCCTGTAGTGTGTGCTGTCCTTCCCTTCACCTAATTCTTATCTACTATCTAGTTAGTAAACAGCTCTCTCTCTCCCCACTCTCATAACCATCAAAGAATGTTTTCTTCTGTGTTTAAACCTTTTCTTGAGTTCTTAAAATAGTGGTCTTATACAATATTTGACCTTCTGTGACTGACTAAATTCATTTAGCATAATGACCTCCAGCTTCCTCCATGTTATGTTTCATGGCTTCATCGTTGTTCTTTATTGTTGCATAGTATTCCATTGTGTGGATAGACCATAATTTGTTTATTCATTCGTCCGTTGATGGGCACCTAGGTTGTTTCCATCTTTTTGCTATTGTGAACAGTGCTGCAATGAACATGTATGTGCATATATATATTCATGTGACAGCTCTTATTTCTCGGATATATTCCAAGGAGTATGATAGCTGGACTGTATGGTACTTCCATTCCTAGCTTTTTAAGGAAGCGCCAAATTGATTTCCAAAGTGGTCGTACCATTTTATATTCCCACCAGCAGTATATAAGTGTTCCAGTCTCTCTACAACCTCTCCAGCATTTATTATTTTGTGTTTTTTGGATTAATGCTAGCCTTGTTGGGGTGAGATGATATCTCATTGTAGTTTTGATCTGCATTTCTCTGATGGCTAGTGATCGTGAGCATTTCTTCGTGTCTGTTGGCCGCCTGAATATCTTCTTTGGCGAACTGCCTGTTCAAATCCTTTGCCCAGTTTTTAATCGGATAGTCTTTTTGTGGTTGAGGTTTTGCAGTATCTTGTAGATTTTAGAGATTAGATGCTGATTGGATTTGTCGGAGCCAAAATTTTTTTCCCAGTCTGTAGGTTGTGTTTTTACTCTTTTGGTGAAGTCTTTTGATGAGTATAAGTGTTTGATTTTTAGGAGCTCCCAGTTATCTAGTCTCTCTTCTGGTGCTTGTGCATTGTTACTTATGGTTCGTATTCTGTTCATGCCATGTATTAGGGCTCCTAGCATTGCCCCTATTTTTTCTTCCATGATCTTTATCATTTTTGATTTTACATTTAAGTCTTTGATCCATTTTGAGTTAGTTTTTGTGCATGGTGTGAGGTATGGGTCTTGTTTCAGTTTTTTGCAGATGGATATCCAGTTATGCCAGCACCATTTGTTAAAGAGACTGTCTTTTCCCCAATTAACGGACTTTGGGCCTTTGTCAAATATCAGCTGCTCATACGTGAATGAATTTACATCTGGATTCTCAATTCTGTTCCATTGGGCTATGTATTTGTTGTTGTACCAGTACCAGGCTGTTTTGACTACCATGGTGGTATAATAGGTTCTAAAATCAGGTAGTGTGAGGCCTCCCACTTAGTTCTTCTTGAGTAATGTTTTACTTATCCAGGGCCTCTTCCCTTTCCATATGAAGTTGGTGATTTGTTTCTCCATCTCATTAAAAAATGCCAGTGGAATTTAGATTGGGACTGCATTGTAGCTGTAAATTGCTCTGGGTAGAATTGACATTTTCACAATGTTGAGTCTTCCTATCCATGACCAAGGTATGTTTTTCCACTTATGCAGGTCACTTTTGGTTTCTTGCAGTAGTGTCTTGTAGTTTTCATTGTATAGATCTTTTACATCTCTGGTTAAATTTATTCCTAAGTATTTTATCTTCTTGGGGGCTATTGTAAATGGTATTGATTTGATGATTTACTCTTCAAGGTTCTCTTTGTTGGTGTAAAGGAATCCAATGGATTTTTGTATGTTTATCTTGTATCCTGAAATTTTGCTGAAATCTTCTATTAGTTCCAGTAGTTTTCTTGTGGATTCCTTGGGGTTTTCTGTGTATAAGATCATATCATCTGCAAATAGAGATACTTTGACTTCTTCCCTACCAATTTGGATGTGCTTTATTTCTTTTTCTAGCCTAATTACTCTGGCTAGGACCTCCAGCACAATGTTGAATAAGAGTGGTGATAAAGGGCATCCTTGAGCTTAGACAAATTCTTAACATCTCTGTGCCTCATCAGTAAAATGGGGACAAGACTAGTATTCCCCTGACAGGTTGTGAGAATTCAGTGGGTGCTTAGAACACTGACTGGCACACGCTAAGTGCTCGGTGAGGGTTAGCTATTGTTATTCCCTTTTGCATCCTCAAACTCTCCTTACTACAGCTCGCTTGAGTGGGTCGCTCCTTCTTGCAAGTCAAAAATCAAACCAATACAAACTTTTGAGTAGAAACCTTTACTTTAATTCTTGCTAATTTTCTGGTGCTGGGAAAAGGTAAGGAGAAGCTTGCTGTCCCCATGAAGGTGATCTGCAAGACTGATTTGGCAGGGCTTCCTGGGACAGATAGTCTTCATTACTCTTGGAATGTGGACTTTCTGTCACATTTCAGAAAATTCAGCCAATTTCAAAAAATTCAGAAAAATGAGGAAGTATGCCCCACTGATCATGGACAAGAGACTCAACAGTCTCAGCAGAAAACACATGAGTACTTGCATGCAAAAGCTGGAGAGTGAAAAAGGAAGACAGAAGAATCGGTACATTCGAATTGTGGTGTTGGCAAAGAATATTGAATATACCATGTGTCTTAGTTATCTAGTGCTGCTATAACAGAAATAGCTTTAACAAACAGAAATTTATTTTCCCACAGTTTAGGAGGCTAGAAATCCGAATTCAGGGTGCCAGCCATAAGGGAAGGCTTTCTCCTTCTGTCAGCTCTGGGGGAAGGTCCTTGTCTCTTTGAGCTTCTGCTCCTTAGTGATCTTCACTTGGCTTCACATCTCTCTTCCCCATCTCTGCTTACTTGCTCGATTGTTTAATCTCTTTTATATCTCTCAAGAGATTGACTCAAGACACACTCTACACTAATCCTACCTCATTAACATAACAAAGACAACCCATTCCCAAATGGGACTATAACCACAGGCATAGAGGTTAGGACTGACAACACACATTTTTGGGGAATACAATTCAATCTGTAACACCGTGGACTGCCAGAAGAATGAACAAATCAGTCTTAGAAGAAATACAACCAGAATGTTCCTTAGAAGCAAGGATGGCAAGCCTTCTGCTTGCTTACTTTGGACACGTCATTAGGAAAGACCAATCACTAGGAAAGGGCATTATGTTTGGTAAAGTTGAGGGTCAGCAAAACTGAGGAAAATCCTCCATGAGCTAGAGTGATACAATAGTCACAACGATGGACTCAAACATACCAACGGTCCTGGAGCTAGCACAGGACTGGGCAACATTTTGTTCTACACATAAGGTCACTGTGCGTTGCTGTCGACTTGATGGCAACGATTTGCAGCCTGAGCAGGAAGACACCCAGTCCTAATGACTTAGTAAAAAACTGGCTCAAAGCAGTTACTCTGAGTACAAAAACTCACATGTTCTCAAGTGTTGGGGACTGTGACCACAGATACACAAACAGGCACAGACAGGTACACACACACAGAGACAGACACACACCTGGGCTAGAAGAAAAGGGTGGAAGGACTTGGGAGGACACAGAGTCTGTGGCCAAGCTAGAAGTGGATTACTTAAATGGGCGTTCCAGAAAGGGCATGGCTACTTTCTGCTAACCAGGTACTAAATGTGCCTCCTACAGTTCAGAAGCCACTTAGTGGTTTTTACATCCAAGGAGAGAGGAGGTGCTGGGGGCTGGCAGGGAGCGCTGTATGTCCGTTACTCTGAGCCTGGCTTGCTTTTATTCAATTTATTCAACAAAGATGTATTACATGCGTATCTGTGCTGACTATATACTGTGCCAGGTGTTGGGGAAACTACATGGTCTGCCCAGAGAGTGCCCTTTGGGACGCCCAGTCTGCTCCCCGTGGCTTGTGGATGTTACCGGCCGGACCAAAGCCCCAGAATGAACATCCTTAGAGAGCGGGCAATACCTGCCATTCAGGCATTTAGCAGAACTGAGTTGTGTAAAAACGTAGTGTCTTATGGAGAAGATATGGCATGGACTAATTTAAAAAGCCGAGGTTTGAAAATACGCTGTACTCATAAAACAATTTTTAAAAATAAAATAAATACATAAATAATAATAAAAAAATGTATTTCACTGATGTAGCTTCCAACCTTTCTTGCCATGCGTTAAGAATCTGCCTCCATACGACTCAATAACTCAGTATTTACGTGCTACGTCACGACTCCGTAATTCAGTATTTATGTGCTATACTCATGTAAGTACATGAATGATATTATTTGAATTGGAAAGCACATAGGGTAGTCACATTTTACTCAGTATGTTTTCTCATATTTCAATTTTATTTTTTAATAACATAGGTACAATAAGAATGGTTATCCAAACCATCAATAACAAACGTGATAATCACAGTAACAGCTAACATGTATGCAGTTTTTTAGAGCTGACAGAAACTCTTCACATACATCCCTTCTTTCAATCCCCATGGCAACCCTCGGACAAGTAATTTAATCTTTTGGACTTTGCTTTCCTCATCTGCAAAACGGGAACAATGATGGCACATACTTTATGGAGTTGTTATGGGGATTAAACGTGTCAATCCATATAAAGTACTTTGAATAATGCCTGGCATGTGGCAAGCTGCCCAACAATTGCTGCCTGGTAACGGTGGTGTTAGCAGAGATATTTCTGTTTTGCAGAGAAGTTAACTGAGACATAGAGAAAGTGAGTTTTTTGACTTAAGGACACACAGCCAGGAAGTGATGGAGCCCTAAGCCTTGATCCCAGGCCCTCTGTAGCCAAATCCTATACTTTACACAAAGCTAGTATTGGATTTAGGTCTTCTAAGTCCAAATCCAATAAGCTATTTCAGACTACTAAAAGCCTAGCCAATTTTCTGGAACCCAGAAAAAGTCCAGCACGCTCAATTAAGAAGGCTAAAAAAAGAAAAATCAACATAATTCAAGAAACCAAATACAAACCGTTGTCGATCAGCTGGATTGACAGCAACTAATGCCCCTCTATCCCAAATCCGGTCAAACTGGCCAATATTTGCTCTACCAGAAAGAAAAAGAAATGTAAGATTTTCCATAAGAGAAATCTGATCTTTGACAAGATGAGCAGTGTTCCCCATGGACCATGCTACTGTTTCACCCCAGTTGTCGAGGAATTGAGACCACGCCTGCCTTTCCTTCTCGTCTATAGGGACGCATTGATATGAGCGTGGGGAGCTGTCCACTCCTAGTTTTAGGAGCCCCTGGGGGCGTAAATGAGGGACAAAGGGCAGTGTGACAGCTTTGCTCCCAGCCCCCAGCTCAGGTACCAGGAACCAGTAATTCATTTCTGTTCCAGGTGCAAGGTGCATGATACTATCTTGCTTTCCCTTCTTCGTCCTTACCTGCCTAGGGTCATAATAAAAACCAAAAACCAAACCCACTGCTGTCTAGTTGATTCCAACTCACAGCGACCCCGTGTGTTGCAGAGCAGAACTGTACCCCACAGGGTTTTCAGAAGCAGATTGCCTGGCCTTTCTTCCAAGGCACCTCTGGGTTGGTTCGCCAACCTTTTGGTTAGCAGTGGTGCGTTTAACCATTTGTGCCACCCAGGGATTCCTGTTGGCATTAGGGGCCGTCAAGTCAGCTCTGACTCATAGCCACCCTACATACGACAGAACAGAACACTGCCCGGTCCTGCGCCACCCTCACAATTGTTGCTATGTTTGAGCCCACTGCTGCAGCCCCTGTGTCAACCTACCTCCTGATATCGGCCTAGGCTAGTCATATCGTGAGTCTTATTACGAGTGTCCAGAGTTTGGGAGCTGTGTAAGGACTAAGATAGTAAGTGTGGAGGCATCTGGTCTGTAGCAAAAATAACTGCAGAATCGAGACACAAACCAGTGCTTGGTGGGTGTTCCTGCAAGTGGATGAGTGATGAAAGACTCCCACCCCCACCCCAGCAGTCTCTCCCAAAAGTCCAGTTTTTAGAAGTGCCCATGTGATATTCAGTCCTACCTTGGAAGATCAAACATGTTGCAACAGTACAAAGAAATGTTCTCTGAAGAACTCTGTAATGAAAAAGTGGAAAAAAAAAATCCTACTTAATTAGGAGACAGGTCAATGTTCAAGGAAAGAGGACCAAGGCAAAGCAAAGGTGGTGGAGAAAGAACTCGCAGTTAAAATAAATCACTTTACTGCACTCTAATGGCTCTTTTATTTTTTAACCTGTGTGGGGTTCTTTTAAGGAGTCTTGGTGATGTAGTGGTGGCGCAGTGGTTAAGGGCTCGGCTGCTAACCAAAAGGTCGGCAGTTCAAATCCACCAGCCGCTCCTTGGAAAACCTATGGGGCAGTTCTGCTCTGTCCTATATGGTTGCTGTGAGTCAGAATCAACTTGATGGCCATCAGTTTGGTTGGACAGTGGTCAAGCGCTGGGCTGCCAACTGAAAGGTCAGTGGTTCGAACCTACCAGCCCTTCACGGGAGAAAGATGTGGCAGTCTGCTTCCGTGAAGCTTGCAGCCTTGGAAACCCTATGGGGCAGTTCTACTCTGTCCTACAGGGTCGCTAAGAGTTGGAATTGACTCGCTGGCAAGGGGTTTGGTGTTTTGGTTTGAGACTCCAAGTGGAAAATCATGGAGACAGTAACTCTGAAGGCTGGTTAGCTATTATTCTTCTCAGAGCTAGGTAAAATTTTAGCAGTGTTCACTTGAGCAGAGTCCTGACATGTTGACTGGGCTAAAGACGCACAGGTCAATCAGTTACCAGGCAGGGTGACAGAGGAGGGTCAGGTGTTGTTGGAAGGTGTTCGTGGAAAGTGCAGCTGTGTCCACCCTCCTTTTCTCTCCTTCATTCACTCAGCTAATGGCCATTTAATCCTTGCGGTTGAGTTGACTCCGACTCCCAGTGACCCTTTAGGACACAGCAGAACTGCCCCATAGGGTTTCCAAGGCTGAAATCTTTATGGAAGCAGACTGCCATATCTTCCTCCCTTGGAGCAACAGGTGGGTTCAAACCACCAACCTTTAGGTTATGAGCTGAGCGCTTAACCACTGCACCACTTGGGCTCCTGATGAGCATTTACTGAGCACCTATCGGCAGGACCATCCTAGGTCCTAGGTAAGGGCTGTGAATTTGACACAGTGTCTGAACTCAGGAGGACAGGCTGCTGGAGCAGAGAGGCGTTGGCACTGAGGAATGTAACAATACAGAATGACTTGTACTGTTACAGTGGGCGCCTGGGAACTGCGCCAACAGAGGAACAAACCGTCCAAGAGTGTTGGGTGAGGAGCCAGGTGGCCCCTGAGACAGAGTCGGATGCCTCTGCTAACACCACGGGGGGTGAGGTGGGGTGGGGTGCATTCACAGGAGGTAACGCGCCATGGACTCAGGTCCAGGGGATGTGAACGGTCTGGGAGCTGGGGAGGAGAGGCAAGAGACTCTTAGATTTTACTCTGTAAGTGAGGCGCCAACAGAAGCTTACAAACAGAGGAGGGCGGGGCTGTGAAGAGCAGTCTGGAAGCACCTGGGGGGCGGCCCAGAGCGGGGTGGGCCTGGAGGTAAGGAGGCCACCAGTGGACCTCAGCTGTGGCTGCATATTGGCCCTTAGAAGACACTGTGGTGCCTCAGTTACCCAGCGCTGCTCTAACAGAAATATCACAAGTAGATGGCTTTCACTAAAAGAAATTTGTTTTCTCACAGTCTAGGAAGCTAGAAGTCCACATTCAGGGTGCCAGCTCCAGGGGAAGGCTTTCTCTCTCTGTCAGCTCTGGGGGAAGGTCCCTGCCATCAGTCTTCCCCAGTCAAGAAGCTTCTCTGCACAGGAACCCCGGGTCCAAAGGATGTGCTGTTCTCCTGGCTCTTGTTTCTTGGTGGTATGAAGTCCCCATGTCTCTCTTATTGCTTCTCTCTTTTATATCTCAAAAGAGATTGACTCAAGACACAACCTAATCTGGTAACATAACTGCCTCTAATCCCACCTCATTAACATCACAGAGATAGGATTTACAACACAGGAAAACCACATCAGATGACAAAATGGTGGACAATCATACAATATTGGAAATCATGACCTAGCCAAGTTCACATACATTTTTGGGGGACACAGTTCAATCCATAACACCTGGGTAACTTTAAATAATACTGATGCCAGTGCCCACCCCAACAGGTACTGATTTCACTGGCCCAGGCTGAGACACTGACTTGGGGGATTTTTAAAAGATCCATTGTTGTTATTGTTATTGCTAGCTGCCATCATGCAGGCCCCTGACTCATGGTGACCCCATGGACAATGGAACGAAATGCTGCTCAGTCCTGTGCCCTCCCCATGGTTGGTTGCAGACTGGACTCTTGTGATCTATAGCCAATGAATACATTGGAAATAGCTCACCGGGTCTTTCTTCCTAGCCTGTCTTAATCTGGAAGCTCTGTTGAAACCTGTTCCGCATCATAGCAACACACAAGCCTCCACTGACAGATGGGTGGTGGCTGTGCATGAGGTGCACTGGCCAGGGACTGAACCCTGGTCTCCTGCAGGGAAGGTGAGAATTCTACCACGCACCCACCACTGTCCTCACAAAAGATCCATAGATGCTTTCAAATGTGCAGCCAGGGCTGAGAACCAGTCATCTGAGCTGGAAATGTGAACTCATCACTCCCATGTCCCTGCTCAATCTGACATCATAAACACTGTTTCCATACGTCTGTTCCTCTACACAGACCATCATTCTTCTATGTCAGACCATCACCATCTCTTTCCTGGATCACTGCTCACAGTCTCCCACCTGGTCTCTCTGCCACGAGCCTACCACACCACACCACACCATGTCATACCGTACCTACCACACCATACCATACTGTACTGTACCGTACTGTACCATACCATATGTACCATACCATACCATATAGTACTGTACTGTACCATATCATATCTACCATCCCATACCATACTGTACCCTACCGTACTGTACCATATCTACCATACCATACTATACCATACCATGCCATACCATACCTACCACACCATACCATACCGTACCATACCATATCATATCTACCATACCATACTATACTATATCATACCATCTCTACCATACCATATTGTACCATACCATACTGTATCTACCATACCATACCATACCTACTACACCATACCATACCATGCCATACCATATCTACCGTACCATACCATACTGTACCATATCATATCTACCATACCATACTATACCATACCATACTGTATCTACCGTACCATACCATACCGTACCATACCATACTGTAGCTACCGTACCATACCATACCTACCATACCATACTGTACTTACCATACCACACCAAACCATGCCTAGCATACCATACCATAGCTATCATACCATACCATACCTACCGTATCATACCATACCATACCATAC